CCATGTCTGAGGCCGCTGGAATAACGAAGAATCTCAGAGAGGCAAGGCGAGGCAAAGATCTTGCAGAGGAAGCCGGTGGAAAGGCGTTGTCTGCAGAAAGTTTACGTTTTTGCAGGCTTTGGCAGCGGCTGGCATTTCTTGCCAGGCCGGACGGGGTGCCGGCTGCAATTGCGCCGATGGCTTGTCGGTTGCTTTGCAGGTTACGGTGTGCGGCCACAGCGGCGCTACCAGCCGTGAAATGCTGGAGGCGAGAGACCCGCACTCTGCGAACCTACATGCGTACCACAGCTGAGCTCGCATTGTTCGGGTTGCCAGAGTTGCCAGTGTCAGTCTTCTTGCTGATGGCTGATGGTGCCTTCTGTTTGTTGTCAGCGTTACTGCTAACTACAGTACGACGGTGCATCGATTGCCGGACAAGAAATCTCAACCAAAAGCAATGCGAGCATGGCGTCTGAAGAGCCGCTGCACTGAATGTCGCCGGCATCTTTCCGAGCCATTTCCAAATGAGGGTCCAAGGTCCAAGGCTTCGAAAGCTTGACATCCGTTTCGTTGGTGTCGACAGATGAAGCAACTTTCAGAGCTTGAGATGGCAAATCTCAAGAGTTTCACGGAGCTCCATCCCGTTGCTGGCAGGCCTCCGACAGTCAGCTGGTGCCTCAGTACCAGACGGGTATCTTGCATGTTCTTCCTATATTGACGCCGATCCGATAACCAGCTGAAGGTTGCCTGGCTCAACCATCTTCAAGCAAGCAATTCTCAAGTTTCGTTTTTCGTGTTGCTGTCTGCTTTGCCTTTTTCCATGGTATGCTGTACTGTATTGTTACCGTCGACTTGTTTTGACATTTTAAGAACAAGATGGGCCCAAATTGCATGCTCGACTCGAGATGTGCAATCACATGCTGCGCAACTGCACACCAGCAGCCCGCGCTGGTGTAGCGAGTGCAGACCGCTGTTGTTGTGTGTCGCGACATGCCTGGTGCAGAGCAGGTCACAGCTGGTGGATGCTTTGGGCTGCCGAGGAGCTGCACGCTCGACTCGTAAGATGCCTGCAAGCTCCAGCCAGTCGGCGCTTTGGCAGGAGACGCGCTTTCCCAGATCCTGGATCGCCGATTCTATGACGTTTGAGCTGCATACAGAGAGTGTGGCAGAGTTTCAGGGCTGCGAATTCATATGTCAGGGCCTCTAGCCGAGGGCAGGCAGAGACGAGGAGCGCCTTTAGGTATTGGTCTTGCAGTTCATGCCACAGCCTCTCTCAAAGTGTCTATGGTGCGTGGAGCCCCACGTGGTGCTCCTCTCTACATCTTCCGTGTGACAGCCGGAAATACTCTCCACTTTTCTACAGCGGATTCTGCGTGAGTGTCCAACCATCCCAGCCCCAACTTGTGCTGGGTGAAATGAAGTGCGCACGTCATTACTGTAGGCAGGCGGCTTATATCTACATGTAAGCACGCTCCCGGGCGTCGCTCGCTCGTTCGCTCTTTAAAGCCGACAATCGCAGATGCTCACATGCCAAGGATTTGGTCATCATCATGTCCGGCACGAATGACATGGGCCTAGGGACAGAAATCCCTGTCATTGCAGAGGAGTGTTGTGCACCATCTGGGTTCGTGAACCGGGCGATTCCCGGTACTTGCTAGCTCCTCTGAACTAGTCGAGTGCCAGCCGTAGCGCCGTAGAGCGTCACTTGCAGCTTCTCGGCGACTTGCTCCGCATTGAGTGGCCAGGATGTGCAGAGATTGCACAGCATTTGTCATGACCGAGGCCGTGGTCAGAAACGTTTAGACTGCTCAGCAGCTTTCGACGACGAATGTTTTGTGTCTTCGACTCCGTGCTTGCAGGCATTCCCACAGTGGCATTGGCACCACCGCCGGCACCAAGCTTTCCGGAGCAGGAGGGAGAACTCTAACTTGGCAAAGCGGTCATCTCAAGTCGAAGCGGAGTGCGGTATCAGAAGGCGGGATAAATGCCTCTAATTAGTCGTGTGACAGCGTACGGGCAACTGGTGCCATCCGCATCCATCCGCCCTTGTGCGACGTAAGCTTTGGCATGTTCGGAGCGCCCAGGTGCGACATGTCACAGTACAGGCTTGGATGCCTGGGAACCCAAAAACATCCATTCTTGCAGCAGACTTTTCAGGAGCTGCAGCGACAGCTCCTGGTCGGAGAGCCGCTTGGCTTCACTTGAAGGCCTTAGCAGTTTAGGGGGGTTAGGGATGTTTAGGTTGTTGGGTTTATGCCAAGATCATGGACTCTAGCAAGTAGTGCAACTTCTACGGCTTCGCAAGAAGCTGGATGCAAGAAGCACGTAGGGTTCAACATACAGACACCGTGCTGGAGGCATCGTCATAGATGCCAGTGCCAGAGAAGTCGATCTGAGGCTTCGAAACTTCTGTCTGCACTCCGCATATGTTCGAGAATTTATTGATCCTGCAGCAGCCTGGCTGGACGAGCTGCCCTTTTGATCTTGGTGGCATGACGACAATCCTCTAGTTGAATTCCGCCCGGCAACAGACGTCCGTGGCAGTGTCTTATCTTTTGTTCGCCTCGGTCTACATTTCTCCACCCCACCATCTGGATCTTTTTTAAGAAACTCTTTTGGCAATACTGGGTTGGAAAGCGTTCACGACAGTGGACAAGCGGCAACTCGAACCGGCAAAAATGGGCTTTCTGTGGATGATGAGGATCCTTCGACATGGGGCAGATGCAAGGAAAGGTCGAAAGAAGTTGTACCGCTGGAGGCTTTGGACGAGCGAGAAAGAGTTGGTTTCGAGCATGGACAGAACATGATCCCCCATCCCAATCAATGTAGCTACCGAAGGCACTCATTTTGAACCACGGCAATGATGTGCTGCGAAACTCACACCATTCAAACGTGACCAGCTTTGACCTCAGGAGATAATGCCTGTTGTGCCTTGCCTGGAACCATCTGCACAGGGTCTATATCAGTCAATGCATGTACGGCAGACACCAAGTTTCAAGATTTCCGGATGGCATCGGGCTTCTGATGAGTCGAGGTGCACGGGCAGTACTGGGATCCGGATGGCCTTCACTTCGCCCCTGCGGGCTCCCAGGCAAGGCAGACCCAGACACAGAGAGCTTAGAACTTGACAGTCGACGAGGTAGGAGCAGCATTCAGAAGATACAGCTGAAGCTGTTCGGGCATCGCATGTGACCGGAAGGTTTTTACGATTTCTTAACAAGCGGCTTTCAGCAACAGGGGCAGTGCAGGAGGGGACAGGCCACAGGCCCGGTCAGAGAGTCTTGTTGACAGACACGTCGTTTGCGTAGGTAAACTATAGTGTGCTGTTAAACATGCGAGAGTTTCAACAAGCCAGCACCTGGTGGTTTCTGTCGCTGTAGGCACTGGGGCTCGCCCTCGCCAGCCTCCTGTTGCAGATTGGAGAAGTCAGTGGCTCAACGGCGGGGGCGGTTGAGCCTGGCTCTACAGCTGTTTCTGCCATCGGTCTGTCAGGTGGGCTGCCCTTGAAAGAACCCAGCAATACGTTTTGTCATGGCTGCCAAGCTTGAATACAGTGGAGTTTCTTGTTGCTGACCCGAGTGTGCAGTTGCTGCCGGCATCTGTGCGCAGGTTGCCCGGCACAGCAAGCACAACAGGTGAATTCGCTGAACCTTTCGGGTTCAATCAATTCCGACGTGTTTGTAGGCGGGCCATTCACCAAAGTTGCGGAATGGAAAGTTCGGCTGGGAAACTATGCCGCTTTTAATTTGGCAATCTTGCGAAACGTCATGTGTTTTGGACACTAGCCAATGGAACCTGCTCTGGCCTTGGGCAGAGCAGCCCGGCTAAAGCAGCCCTGCACTTTCCATCCCGGCACTCACACAGCCTGGTGAACTTGTGAATAGCATCATCTGATCTGATTGTAGCCCTCTGGTGGCTCCAGAATACCATCACTATCACACAGGCGCGGAGCATGATTATCCAGTTCGTCCTGAAGTGCATTTAGGCGGAACGTATTGCTGCCTCGGGCAGCAGGTCTGGGGACAACTCGCTGGGATTGCTTTCCGCACCTCGCAGCATGCGCCCGTTGATGGCATTTTTCAAGTCTCAGTGCATTTCGTTTGGAGGGACAATGGTTCCGACGAGCTTCAAACATTGCACACTATCTGTGTATTCCAAATTTCGGCTTCTCTTGACCCCCAACTGCCGCCAATTGTTGCTGAGATGACTTTAGTTTGAGGAATGAAAAGTTATGTCTGCCGAAAGGGATCAGGAGACCCCGATCCAGCTCAAATCTGCTCCAGTCGAAGCAGTCTCAATTCATTTCAATTGTGCAGTTCCTCGGGCCGACAATGGTTTGGCCGTCAGAAGCAGGCCGCCGCCCATCGCCGCCCTCCGCTGTCACGGCCGTGACCTCTGTGGCGCTCCGGAGTCCTAGTGCTCGAGCCTCGGGCCCGAGCTAAATTCGCGCACGGCCCCGGGCGGCTTGGGGGAGACCTGTTGGATGTTATGGTTCCGCGTTCGGCTCCATGCCAGGGCATCTGTGGCCGCACTCGAGCGTGAGCACCTTTGACCGGGCTCGTGTGTGGGACTGTTGCCCATGATGTGGCACGATGGACCCGATTCGTTCGAGCTTGAAATGCCGTGCGCAGCCTTCTTGCATTACCCGGGGTCCTGCTGCATGCTGTGCTCACCTGCTAAGAACTACATATCTGCAAGACGGCAGGGCTGTCAAGCTGCAAGATGAGCGCTAGATGCTGCTGAAGGGATGCGATCGGATCACGTTTCGTTGCAGTCTGGCACAGGCCTTCTTCGCTTTGCGCTTGCTGAGGGCCATGGCATGGTGTTGAACGTAGCTGTCGTAGTTGCGACCGAGAGGAGTCTTGTGGTGTCCCAGTTCCGTCAAGAGTCAAGTCCTGTCAGTTTGTGCTGAGTGGTTCGACGGTTGCACCAGCGGCGAGTAAAACGGCTTCGGATCCAAGACCTCTTTGACTTGCCCAGCTTGTCCCAAGCATGGGCACCGTGGAACCGTTTCTTGTTAGGTGCCGTCCTACCACAGAGCCCTGCTGGGCACATGCCTCAGCGGAACGCAGGCTTCCAGATAGCTGTGTGTGGCGGCACAGCTAAGGAAGTCGAACGTGGAGACCACCCCGCAGGCCGGAGTTGAGCATTGAAGAGATCCGGGCCGCTTCAAGTGTCGCAGCATGGCCCCGCTTCGCCGTCATAGGCATGTTAGGATCGCAAGCTTGCAGACTGTTCAGATCGTGAGCATATGGACGCTAAGCCGCCAAGGGTGATGGGCTCCTGGCGCGACCACCAACCGGAACCAACGCCGCAGGTTCAGAAGCTCCTCGAGCTGGAGAAAGAAGCCTCGCAGGCAACCTTTGGATATCGAGAGCTCGTGGCTTCTTGGAAGAACTTGTGGCACAGTATCCATTCGCTGCAGCTCGCCCTGTGCTGCCGCTGTTGTTGTCGTGGTGCTTCGAGAGGAGAAGTCGAGATTCGCAATGAATGGGCTGTTGATCACCAGTTGCCCTCGTCAAATTTCCGGTAGTCGGCATCAGAGCCTCAGTCTCTTTGCAAGCCTATTTCTCTTGCTTCTCTGCTTTCTCATGTTTCCTTTGTTTCAGGCGTTTAGCTTTCCTTTCTCGGCCTTTTCTTGCTGCTCCTCCAGCAGGTCCTTCTGCCTGGTCAGCCAGACGACGAGGCAATTGAAGTACACCCACAGGCTGTAGACTTTTGACCCTACAAGATGGGATCGCTGCAAACATCGGGAGTGCTGGAATCGTTTTCATGCTTGCGCAGGCTCGACAACGAGAGGATGCTGCAGCTCAGCATGCAGAAGCAATGCGTGCAGAAGAAGCGCGTGTGGCAGAGGAGGCACGGCAAGCAGAGGAACGAAAGGCGGCAGAGGCAGCGAAGCTCGCCGAGGAAGCCAAGCGCACGGAGGAAGAGAGGCAAGCAGAGCAGGCCAGGCTTGCGGAGGAAGCCAGGCTCAAGGAGGAAGCTAGGCTTGCCGAGGAAGCGAAGAGTGCCGAAGAACGGCGACTTGCAGAAGAGGCAAGGGTCGCCGAAGAGGCACGCCTGGCAGAAGAGGCCCGCATTGCGGAGGAAGCGAGGCTCGCGGAAGAAGCCCGCTTGGCAGAAGAGGCCAGGATTGCCGAAGAAGCAAGGCTTGCCGAAGAAGCGCGCTTGGCAGAAGAGGCTGCAGCCATGGTGCAACACTACGCAGCTGACGTGTAGCAGTATGGGGAGTCATGAAGAATTGAGGGATTTTGGCGGAAGAAAGCCCACCCGGCCTGAGCGACATCTCCTTTCACGGCTCCTTTGAAGGCTCGGCGTGCGGAGTTCGAGGCCAAGCTGCGCGCGGAGATGGAGGCTCGAGCTGCTCGGAAGCCTGTGCAGGTCCTCAGGCGCAGATCTGAAGTTGAAAGCGTGGCTTGTTGCAACTGCCATGACTGCCATGGCATCACCCATGTGCAGACCGAACGCTTGAGCAGGCGAAGGAGAAGCAAGTGAACCAGCGGGTTGACGGAGATGGCTGCATCACTTGGGAGGTGTCCTTTCCTGTTTGGGGGAGTTTATGTCGCTGCCGTCCTGCCGCGTACTGTCTCTGCAACCCTCCGAACCCAAGCTTAGCGGCTTAGCAACAGCACGAAGGGGTTTGGTTCAGGTCGATCTGATGAAAAACGAAGGCGAGGCCTTTGGCTTCTCCCACAGCAATGGCAAGGCTGGAGCCGCGGAGCGGGTTGCAGCTCTGCAGGTTTTGTTTTTCAATTTCGACTTCTGCCAGACTTCTGCCGCCGCCCCTTGCTGCTTTGTGGCTCAGCTGTGACACATGTTGGCTGTGCACACATGGACGCAAAGTCCTTGACAGACCTCTTATCTGCGTTAGATGGCGACTCCGCCGTGCACCTCATCTTGGAGGTGTTGAAACTGCGGCCGGCCCTGAGCCCTGCAGTTGTGGGCTTTGCCTGTCCGGCGCTGACCTATGCCCCTGCACGGGGGATGATGGAGCGTCGCTGCCGGGGTGTGGTGAGGCAGGTGGACCGCACCCAGGGGTTCGGCTACATCGCGAGCCCCGAAATCGAGGCTACCTTCGGCATGGACGTCCTCGTTCGGGATGGCCAGCTCAGAGCCTTTCAGGCTGGTGACGAGGTAAGCTTCACATGCGTCTTGAATGAGGAGCAGAAGCCCCAAGCGTTCGAAGTTCTAGCCGCAAATGGGATGCCACCAGCGGCCGTGGCGCCTGTGGCGGAATGGACGGACTGGAATCATTGGGCGGAAGGGAACGATCCCAAAAAGCGCAGACTGTAGTCAGCTTGTGTCAGCCTCGCTGCGAGACGCTCGTGTAACAAATCGGCCACACAACCGAGTGAGCAGCGCATGTGCCTGGCAGAGGCCCCTAGGAGCCAGCGACTTTCTGCGTGAAGAAACAAGACTGCCTTCCTTTGCCAATGCCAAGCCACGAATACTCGGCATGTTGGAGCAGAGTCAGCTCAGACCGCTGCCATAATCAGCTGCCCTTGTTGATGCTTTTCGCAGGCAGAGTTCAGTCGCGCCCGTGGTTTGCCACCATCGGATGAAGTTGGGTGTGGCCCTCAACGGGTAACGGGAGCTTTAGAGACCAACAGCACGCGATAACATCGTGGCCCTGCAGGTAGTTTCGTGTGTCAGAATCATGCTGTTGACACAAGTCCGGTGGTTGTCGCAGTCGCAACTCGAAAGTGATTTGTCATTTACAAACTGCAGCCTCGCCGAGCAAAGCCGGACTTTACAATTTACAAGACCCTCCACGGATCGAAGTTCATGTCCTCCTTCCGCAGGGGTAGTCTGACCAGTCCAACAGACTGTGCCTCCTGAAGTCTTCTTTCACCGCTCCAGCGTTTTGGGCTCAAGTCCCCGGGGAGTCCGCCCAACCTTGGCTCCGAGGAGACGCTTCGTGGGCGAAGCTGCGAAGCAGTGCAAAGCTGCTTGACGAGTGGAAATGTCGAGTTGATCTCTCCGCTGTGAGGAAGCCGCGACGAGGGCGCTATGAGCCGAGCAGTGCTGCAGGTCTTCGAAGAGTACCAGAAGGCAGGGCAGATTGGGGCAAGGGCCAAAGGACAGCTCCGGAGATGGTCAGGCGCGCGTGACCTTCGTTCAGACCGTGGCCGATCTTGCGACCAGGTGCTCGCATCCTGGCTTTGTGGCTTTCAGGGGCATCTGCAATCGTGATCAGGCCGCAGAACATCGATGCCTTGACGAATGCTGGAGTGATGGCGCTCCTCAGGTGGGGAGACCTGGCGCATTCTGGCGCGTGCTAGGCTTTAGCGCTGCAACTCCGAGGCCGCTGCTGCTGGACTCCGTGGCCTCGCCGGGATCTCACGATAGGATGCGCAGGATGCGATGGAGAAGTTGGCGCATTGGGCCTGAGGATCCAACAATCCGCGGCCCTGGCTTTGGGTCGGATGGCCAACTATTCGGAAGAGCTCGCTGAGTCGGTGGGACCTTCAGGTCTGATGTAGTGCTGCCAGACTGTGGTGCGACGCTGCAGGTGGTGACTCACGAAATCCTGCCGCAGCTGGTATACTCCCTAGCGCAGCAGAACCGCTACCTGGACAGATTTCGTACGGTTCATCGACAGGTAAGGAGACTGCCAGGGCTAGGACGAGATGAGCGCATGTTCAAAGGTGCGGGGTGTAGGTGACAAGCAAACACCAGATATCTCCTCAACACATGCTTCAGAGGTACCAGTGCTCGAAGGGAAACTGCTCAAGACACAGGGGAATGCCTCGATCCAGTCCGTGGCTGGGAGGGGGCTTTCCCACCACATTTTGCAGCAGTTGCAGGCTCTGTCGGCTGGGGCATATTTCCCAAGTTGATGCACATTTCATTGTGCTGAAAAGGGGTGGCCAGTCAAGAGCGGGCATGGCAAGCATTCGACTTTTGAGTGGACACTTTTTCTTGTCACTGGGTCACGCTTCCCGGAACCGGCGGTAGCCGCCTAGAGTGAAGCCGCCAGTTCCCAACAAACGACGACGGCAAAGCAAGCCGGGTCACGGTGCAGTCGGATGACAGCTGCCTCGTTCAGCATGCTGCGACCAGGTTTTTACAAGAAGGCTGCTGCTTTTGTTTTGCGGGCTGTCGCGAAGCACTCGCCGCCTTTGGCACAGGTGCCCGGTCGAAGCACGGTCTACTAAGTACCAGGGGCTTCTTCCGTCGCTTCGCAACGCTGACAGGCCGTCATCGATTCTGGCGCCCTGGAGGCCTTGGTCATGTGCTTGGAGGCGCGAGAGGGGCGTTTTGAGCATCGGACATACGACATGCTTCAGATGCGGTCAGCAGAGTGGAGGAATTCGACCCCACCGTCAAGGAGGCGGCAGCTTGGGCTTTGGGATACATCGCCCGGAGCCCGGCTCGGGCTCGTCCGCAACTCGCCGGTGTGGTGACGGTGGGCCGCGGCCCCGGCCTAGGCGAGGCACAGTAAAGACCTGGCGCAAAGCGTCGTAGACGCCGGTGCCGTGCCTCTGCTCGTCCTCAGCTTCCAGGACGAGGTTTTTTTGCACCGGGATTGCACGGGTAACTTGCGGCAGGGACGGAGTTCGCATCTTAGCTTATTGTGAGGAGCCTGAGCTGACTCTGAAGCGCATCACTGCCTCAGCACCCCGGCAGATTTACGACGGACTTGTGCGGCTGGAGTCGATGATGCTTCTGGAGCTTTTGAGGCTTTGAGTGACATCTCGAAGCACAGCCCTCAACTCGCACAACTGGTGGTGGATGCAGGCGCAGTGACACTCCTTACCAAGGCGAGGTCCCTTTGCCATGCAAGTGGTGGGTTTTCGGGCCTGGACTGACAACTCTTTCCGGCGCAGGAAATCACGAACAACGATGCCCCTCTGAAGCGGCAAGTCTGCTCATGCTTGTCGCAGATAGCCAAGCATTCTGAATCTCGGCTTCCATTGAGCGAAGGGGGAGGGGAAAGGTCCAAGAAGTCCTCACGTCTTGTGTAGCTGCGATGAGCCGGGGCGTTGACGTTGGGAAGGTCGACCTCGCGGAAGTGGTGGTCGAGTCTGACATCTTCCCAACGATTCTGCACTGCTTGAAGGATGTCGACGAGCAGCCCGGCCGGCCCTAATCGTTGGGTTTTCGCTTCCTTCGCAGATCGTAGCAATGTTGCGTCCGCGCCGCGCTCTGCGCCTTTCCTTGCTTTTTGGTGGGCTTCGTCATTCTGCAAGGCCGAGGGTGGTCGGTAGACGTCTGTATGCCGGGTGCACGCGGCGCGATTGCCGTGTCCTCACCCCGATGAACCCCGCTTAAGGAAGGAATCGCTCTTCCTTCCGACCTCTTGCACGACCTGGAACCTTCAAGCAGCCATGTAGCTACGTAGTGTTCGTGATTGGGCGAAAGAGGTTTCCATTACGTGTTTGCAGGTAGCAAGAACACTGCGCATGAGCTCCTGTGCGCAGAAGTTATTTCTGAACAGCTCCAGGTCTGTCCGGAAGAATGCGGCCACCTGTATTCGCCGCTGGGCTTGAGCTGTTGTGCGGGAGTTTGAGGGGACGGTAGGAGGGACGGTATGAGTCTGAGCATCAGACTGTTGAAAGGCTGCTGCTTGCCCAAACTACACCATGTGTGCCGACAGCCTTGCCAGGATGCTTCTTGGGTTGCCATGATGTGCTCGGGTTGGCAAGGGAGGGCCTCGTCGTCGAGTTGTCTCTCTTCTTGACGACCTCGAAAAACAAGACATCGCGGCATAACGGAACTGCCTCCACTGAGGCTCTCGCAGCAAACTGTAAGCCGAGGTGGCCCAAAGTATAGGCTGGACGGCAGAGTCCGATCCACGTGTAAAGTTTTGCGCCCTTAGGCAAGATTCGGTGTTGATCTGCGTCGACTCATGACGGTCCACTGTAAAGTGTGACCATGTCTGAGCAAGTTTCTATGTTTTGCCTGTTCCAACTGCATGTTTCATGCAGCCTCGGTGGGCCTTTCGACTATTCGCGAAGTCAGTCGAAGCCGCCCTTTTGGGTGCTTCGCACATGCGGCAGTATTACCACGTGGTCAAGGTTGCCGAGCTGTAGTCCTGTGCAGCACCCTGCATCTTTGCATCGGGGCGTACACCTTGCCTAGTGGTGGGACCAACCTACAGATAGGATAATGCGAAAATTCTGCTTGTCGACCGTTCGCATGTCTCACGGCCAGGCCCTTCGTGGCAGAAGCCAAGACGAATAACCATGAGTATCATGAGGGAAGCCTACCGTACTCTTCGTTCTTTCAGGAGAGCTTTCCCGGCATACCCCAGACTTGGCCAAGCTGATTGTACCTTGGCTGCACAGAAGCTTTCTGTTCTTTCCGGTCCGTTGAACCCTTGACAGCGAGATTTTATCACGTGCCTGAGGTAAATGCTGGAGGAATCGCTGCGATGGTCGATTTCGTAAATGAAGCTCGGGGAAACTGCAGCAGCTCGACTTGATTGTTGTGGGCCTGGTGTGATGCTATAGATGCCCCAAAGATTTTGATGATTGTCATAAGGATTGCCGGGCATCATGACCCTGGGCCGCTTGTCTGGTCATCAGAGTCACAAAAGGCTGTTGGATCTTAGGCTGTCAAGTGCTGCATATGTTGTCCAGGCTATGTGGCAGCTTTTTCCGAGACGCTGGCATTGGCAGTTGTCCCACGCATGCAGAATGGTACCAATCATGCCTTTGTGCATGGTACAAGTAATCAAAGTCATTAATTGCAATCGGCGGTTGAGGGCATTCGGATATGTTGTGCAAACAAGACCATGGTGTACCGCGGCCAGCAGACCGGATTCCGTGGACGGCTGTCAGAAACAAATAAGAGTGGTTGCGCAGTTCGCTTTTCTGCACCTGTAGTTCAGTGCCCAAAGACCTTGACGAGAACATGTTGATCCTGCTTAGTAGTTTGCCAGTAAAGCTGAAGCCAAGCCAAGGTGGTGTCGAAAGGAGTCCCTCCCTTAAAGGACGCGCTCATCAGCGAGCCGGAGGACGACTTCTAGCAAACAGCTTGTGACAAATCGGACCGAGCTGCCACTTCATTCTTTGCAGGATCATGTCAAGGCGGCGGCCGCATGGTCCCTGGGCCAGATAGGCACGTAATCTTGATTACATTGCATTGCAAGGTCATGTTGCATCCTCCGCGCGGCTCGCACTGTGACAGTTGTTCGAGTCGTCCGAGATGCTTCTTCTGAGAGGCCGTCATTCCCCCGATCATGCAAGGGCATTGGCCGAGGCGGATGTGCTGCGGAGGCGGGGTCACACTGGCGGTGAATTCTTGTTTGGAGCTGCCCGGCCATGTTGCAGGATGCTTGCTGTGTACCTTCACCAGGAGCTGTGAGTGCATGAAGGCATACAGTCATTCAGAGGTAGGTTCGCTGTGGGACCGGGTCCTGTGCTGTGCTCATCACTGCGTAAACATGCTTCGGGTGTCTTGAGTAGCAGAGGGCACTGAAGTGTGTTGCAAACACATGTGCTGCTGGAAGCTACTGGGCGGCTCGTTGTGGCTGAAGAGCATCCGCGCGCGAGAGCGATTGTGGCCCCAAGCTGGATTTGTGTTTGATGAGCTAGCCCGCGATCGGCGAAACTGTGTGAGTGTGATGACACTTCGCAGCTCAGAAAGTAAATCCACCTAGCCGGCAGGACTCGAGTGAGGATCTGCAGATCAAGACCAAGCGAGCCTTGAAGCTTGGCTGAACTTGAAGTGTTGATGGCTTTGACCGCGTGCCAAAGCTTCAGGCTGCTTATCTAACGAATAAGAGCACAAGCTCTTAGACTTACAGGCCATTTGTCCCAGAAGGGCTGGGTCCAGGTAGAGGAAGCTTGGTGAGTTTGTCGGCCCAGGAAGAGCATCATCCAGAAGTGTACGCACCTTCCAGCTCTCGAGCCACTTATCGACTCTCCACCGAACATCTTGAAGCGCCTTTTTGGAAGCATCAGTGTGCTGCACAAGCAGAAGCAGAATGCTGGGAATTTCTTCGGCATGCTGTGTTGTGAATATCAACTTGTCGCCGAGGTATGTAATCCAGCAATTTGCTAAAGTCCTGCCCAACGACATAGACGCCCGCCGGGCTTTCGTGCAATCCGGCAGCCTGCAGAAGGTGCAGGAGGCCCCGTTATGCACTGCCATGGTAGCCCAGTGGAGTCCTTCCGTCTCGAGTTAGGTTTCCTGACGTTTGCGCATGGTGCCCGGTCCCATGAGGTTGGTGCAGAAACAGGGTCCAAGCTGCAGGCCGCGCTTCGTGAATTTTGCACAAAAACGGAAGTTTGTGGCATGTCTAGCTGGACTTGCATTGTGCCTGAACGGAGACGAAGATGTAGGCTTGCTCGGCTAATGCGTCTCTGACTTCATCCAAGCACCCGTCCGAATGGAGGATTTCATCGACTCCATCAACATGCTTTATCCGCCAGAGATCGTACAGTATTACTCTCCGAACTACGTCGCACCCTCGTGGGCGGATCGGGTGCATCATGTTCGTGTTTGCATCTGGCTGGGCCTCAGGCGGACAAGCTGCTGTCTAAGATGGAGGAGTTCAATCCGAGTGGTTAAGGCTTGTCATGATGGTTGGGGATGAGGTGATCTGAGGGTGCATTTCATGTATTGGACGGATGGTCAGGCTTGTTGCAGCTGTTTGACAATCTTGACCATCTTCCTGGACCTGCCGTGCTCAGGGGACACAGCTTTCGCTTCGGCCTGGCCGTTTGCCCGTCCGAAGCACCTGAGAGCTCCGGAAAGAAAGACGGAGTAACATCAGACGGTTGTGTGCATCATTAATCACTTATGGCCTGCGGGTGTCGATTTCTTTTCGGGGCAACGAGCAGAGCATAATTACCCATTGCGTATACAATTAGTGCAACAGTGATGCACGGTGATGCATGTGTCGGAATTCAAGCCCTCTTGTGATATGTGCGGAGCCACTGACTGCTCCAGAGAGCACAATGCTCCGTGTACATTTTAAAACTGATTCTGCGCTTCGTGCCACTCGCCAAGGCCGTTTGGGCGCAGTTTGGGCAGAATCGTCGTAGACTCGCGAATCTTCGGCGCTGGCATGAAATTTCAAGGATAAGTCTGCGGCAGCTGCAGCTGCCTCGGGACTCAAAGATTCCTTGGTTCCAAGAGCCGGTTAATCACCGGGCTCCTAAACTCATAGGACTAGGAATTGCTGCACCGAGGTCACCTCGAAGTGCAGAGGTAGAAGATGATCCTAAGCATAGCTTGGATCCAGCGATGATGAGGCGTTGCCTTCCGTGAACATGTGAGGCGATGCGCCGATCTCAAGCGCTGCTAGAAGCACGCTGCCAGGAGTCAGGAGTCTCACTGCTTGGCGTGGCGAAAAAGCAATGCCCATCGCAGCAGCGGAGCGCTCCCTCGAAGCCGAAGAAGGCCCAGAGCCCAGCGCAGCTCAGGCCTGACATGCTCTTCATCAACGCAATCGTCTTGGCCTCAGTGGCTGACGGCGCATGCGGCCAGCGCGGAATCCCCCTGCAATGCGAGATGCGGAAGAGAATCCAGAAGCCTTGGCCCGGCCTTTCGCAGGCCCCGACTGGCAAGCTCGGCGCCTGGAACGAGGAATTCTCTTTCGCAAAGGCAGCGGGGCGGGCCAGCATCACCATGAGAGCCGGCTCTGCATATTCAAGTGTGACAGGCTTAGAATTTCTCTTCGCCGCAGGTGCAGCCGTGCGATTATGTCGCTGAGGTCAACGGCGTACCAGGGCTCAAGGCCATTGAATGCCAAGACATTCAAGAGACCCCAGGGAGGGCTTGAGAGAGGTTTCGACGTTAAGAGGCGCATATGTGACTCCATACAGTCCCTTGGCCCCAGAGAGCTTTCACCCATGGGCTCGACTTCAGCCCCGATGTGGCTCGAGTTGGCGTGTAAGCTCCAATCAGGGACCGAACCCCCCCCGTTTCAAGAGCCATGCGGTCAGTCTGCATCGTGCTCGGGCTTGTAGTGGCACTTGGGAACTCGTTACAGGAAACACCTGAGGATAATGATGGCCAGTGCCTCTTATCAAAGAAGCGAGTTGCTCGCATGCCGACGGTCGATATGTTGGCCAGCAGCGCGCTCTCGAAAGCCAGGGCCCAGCACACATCGGTACTCCAGAAAGGTGCAGTAGAAAGGTCAGACCCATTGGACCGCATCGATTGGGACCAGCAGCTCCATGAGTACAAGATGGTCGCCGACGACGTTGCACCTGTGGACAAGAAGCATCGATGTCCGCTTCGGAGGATGGATGCTCAGAAGGTTCGCGAGGAGGAGCTGGAGAACCTTGACAGGCCGGCGATTTTGACAAATGTTTTCGACCCGGATGATCATTGGACCGCAGACTTCTCGAAGGTGGGGAGCCGAGTGAGGGTAGCCAGTAGGTCGGCAGACCAAAAAGATCAGTAAACTTCTCCAACACAAACTCCATGTAGGCCGAGCTGCTGGACCGTTACGGAGACTTTGAATTGTACGATTCGGCCTTCGACCATTTGGGTGCCGGTGCCTTTCTCCGGGACCACATCGATGATGTGGAAACCGTGGAGGACGCCACCAAAGCTAACCAGCCTGGCAACCTGATCTTCTTCGAGGACGAGGTGCCCTGCTGTTCTCGGCTGGAGGTTTCTGCGGTTGGTGGTGCTTTGGGATGCTTTTGGTGTTCGCAGGTAGCGGACAAGATGGTCACCAAAATCCTCAAGTCTGTGACGGAGAATCTCCCTGAAGATTCCCGCGATGTGGTTCTGCCGAAGGAGCCGTCCTGCACGTTGCGGCTTGGGTCCCCTGCAGCTGTCGTAACGGCGTAATATGCGAGGATACCGAGAACACCTGGGAGAACCGGGGTGTTTCCTTCGGGCACCGAGGCCCGGGCCTAAGCCTGAGCCAGCAAGGAGAGTTCGCGGCCTAAAGCTGCGCTGAGGCCAGTGGAACCAGATGCACATCCACAACCGCTTCATCTTCACACAGATCCTAGGAAGCAAAGGCTGGGTCATGTCACCGGCCCAGGCATTTCCCGAGGATGCCGAAGATCGCCATTCAGTCATTCCCATAACACACCCGGCAATGTGCAGTCCCTTCTTCAAGCGCGAGCAGAAGCACAGCTATGCACCGCACAAGCTGGGAGTGGAAGGCTACCTCCAGAACCAAACAGAGGCAGGTGTCGAGTGCGTGCTTCACGCAGGAGAGGCTCTGTATGTTCCCGGCCACAAGTATGACCTAAGCTGGTGGCATGGCACCTGTGATTTGGGTGACTGGAATGCTGGGGTCACCTCAATATTCCACACTCGCGGCAAGCACTGAGCGTGGGTTCCTGGCACGGCACCCATGCGCAGTGAGCTCGTCGTTCCCGGAGAATCCTGAAGCAGAGGTCTGTGAATACTAGAATACCCGCGGTCTCTTGTTCTATCTTATAGCGGCTGCAAGGCAAAATGCCAGGCGGCGCTGCGACATCCTGAAGGGATTATGGAGAAAAGTAGAAACCTTGTGCGTTTTGACAGATCTTCCCTGAAGCAGCGCTCAGTTTACGTTGCGAGACCGCAAGGCTTTTTTGCGTTGGTTCTCGGGCTCCGTGTGGACTCTGGTTCTGCTTTCCGTGTGCTGCTCCTTGAGGACATGTCATCGGAGCTCCAGAAGCGCGCGGCCGTGCGTCTTCGGATTCTGCGCTTCCCGCCGGTCTTCGAGGACCCCTGCCGGCCGTGCCTCATGATCCTGTCGTCGTGTCCTGAGCATCGCGCGCAGGTTCAACTGCCAGCAGGGCAGGAGGCCACGGGCCCGCGGCATGTTGCTTCGAGTGCCGAGAGTCGAATGAGCCTCTTGCAGGCCCCGGGACGAGTGGTCGGCCTGAAGCTGACCTGGCCTGTTTAGGGCCTTAGGGTTTGGGTGGCCATGGCATGCACCACGCCGCGGGTCCGTGGAGGGTCTGTCGGGCATGTTTGGGCCAGGTATGACCCTCCGATGAATGACAGGGATGCGGGCTTGACGATCAAGGATATAGTGCCTCCAGGGAGGGCCCAAATCCGGGCGTCTGATCTAGGCATGGTCATGTCTGTGGAACAATTAGGGTGGCCTCTGCTGGAAAGGTACCGGACAGCCGCATGGATCACCACAACAGAAGCTGCGTTGAGTTTGGACCTTATCGCACATTTTCAACCATGATGGGCTGTCCGAATTAGCAGAGCAGCGGAATGCTCTGCAGGGGGAGCCGCTTCCACTTGGTGGTGATGACCGGCTTTCGAATCGAGGGTGCCTGTGCTGCAGTACACGCAGCAGCACTCACCTCGTTGACTAGATCGAAGTCAGCCAGTGTAGCTGAAGCCATATCAGTGAATTAGGTTCCCATCAAGTTATGACGGGATGGGTTCGAGTTTGATGTGGTGGCCAGGGAGTTTCGCATTCTTGATCTGTTTGTGTTCGACTGATTCATTTCAAGGCCCTAGCTGTGTGTTCAGTGAGCCGACGAAACGACGGCTGCAAGAGAGGCTGCGAAGCCGGAGCTTGGACAAGCGCAAAAGTCTGAAGCTGACCCTCCACCCCCCCTACGCAATCTTCCCACAGCATCCCTTGGGGCTGGTGCAAAATCCGACTCCAAGCGCTCATCCGACTCCCGAACATCCGACCCGGTCCTTGTCTCAGGAGTGAATGGAGTTCACGGAGCTGGGCAGAAGCTTCAGCGAGCTCTCCTAGAGGCCGGGCTGGGGCTGTCGGCTGTCTGCACGTCTTGCTTGGCAGAGGAGCAGTGAAGGCCAATTCCGAGAACGTGCCTGTCAAGTTTCGCATGGCAGCTTTCCTTGGCTCGCAGCTGCACTCATCAAAAAACCGTCTCCGCATGGCACAACTTCATATACGAAGTGCTGCACAATGCCACAACATGGAAGACTACTGCAGACCTGACGTACGGAGAGCCCGAGCTGCTTCCTGAACATGCTGTGCTGCCAGCGGGGGGTCTAAGAGATGTTTGCACAGGATTATGACATTGATGCCCTTCGACAGCAAATGGGCCAGCTGGACACGGGGCTGAATCCTTCTCGAATCAGGATTTGACAGTTGCTAGATGTAGGCCTTCACCATTAGTCAATCGGTTCCCGAATGAAAACGTATGAGACGAATTTGTTGCGAAGCCTCCCCTTGCGAGTTGCATGAGCCATGCTCACTGAATGTTTGCTGCATGTAGCAGCCTGCTCCAAAGCAGCAGGTTCTTAAATGAGTTGAGTGTGTTGTTACATTGTTCGTGAGTGGCTCAGGACGAGCTTTCTGGTGATGACCGTGGGCGCTCGCCTCGAGGTGCTGGCGGCTACGCCACCCGGGCTGCGGACAATGCCGAGCGCCGCATCGCGGATGCACCCTCGCCGTGGGTTGGGAATGTTGGGAAGGGAGCGCCGCGGACCGGGGGAGGGTTTTTGCGAGCGGGAGCCAGGGTCGAGAACCAATGGACTTCGGGGGTCGTCGCCGTGGCCAAAAGATGGCACCGTGGATGGGCCAGGCGGGAGTAGTTGGATGTGGCTGAGTCGGCTTTGAGAAGCTTTGTTGATCAGAGGCCTTTGGAGCAGCGCCAGCGCAAGAGAAGCCTGAGCTGTCCGGCCTGGACTGCCTTACTTGAGCTGCAGATCCTCTACGGCCCGGCCCTCGTCCACGCCTTCGTTGTAGGCTATCCTGGCTGCAGGACACCCGCCGGCCCAAGGAGAAAGTGTCAGAGCTCCGAGACATCTGTCTGCGATAGCTTTGGATGTTTGCTTGTTGGAAGGTCTTCGAGCCGGGTTTCTCGTGCTGAGGACTACTCTTCACGGCTGTGGAATGCTGGTGGTGCCGTGGCGGCCGGCGCCGAGCCGCCCCCCACCGCGTCAGTGAAACGGAATGTCGTGGAGGCACGGGCCAAAGGGGCGAATTTGATGCAACGTGGAGCGCAGGTTAAATTCCAGGCCGTGTGGAGCTGTGCAGGACCGGGAGCTTGCGCTCCTGACGGGCAGACAACGCGCTCCTGCCGGGCCTGCTGTCTCAGACTTGCTGTCATCGTGTGGTGGTAATCCTTCTTGGACCTTGGCTTGTAATTGTAAGGACTGGAGCGCGAGAACATCAGGAGGACAAAGCGCCTCGAAACCTCAAGGAGACGGAAAAGAGTTCCGCAAAGAAGGACAAGTCAGAAAAGGCCAAGCACAAGCATGGCAAAGAGAAAAAGAAAGAGAAACACAAGGCAAAGAAGCACAAGAAGGACAAAAAGGCAGGAATTCCGAGCCAGCTCTCCTAGAGCAGTCTTCATGTTCTGTGATCATTCGGCCGCTGAGCTCGTGCAATCCTTGGAGGGCAAGAAACGCAAAAAGTCCAAAGACAGCTCCTCTTAGCAGCGAGGTGAAGGCAGGATGCAAGCCAATGCTTTCCGAAATTGGCATCAGATACACCAGCTGGGAGCTACACCAGTAGTCTTGGGTGCAGCTGCAGCAGCAGCATGTTGCGAAGGTGTCTGCAGCACGTCTGGCATCACTTGCAGCAATGTCTTGCCAACGTTGCAGTTGCAACCCACTGCACGGCACGAGTGAGGACGTGGCAGCCTGTCCAGTAAGCCAGTAAGCACTTCAGGGCAATGATGTCTGGAAACAAGCAATTTCTGCTAATTGCTGTCCACCATGCCGTGCTGCATGTACATAGGACCGTGGAGACCAGAGTCGCAAAAAGCTCTGCGCAGGGTCCGAGCTACTGTAGCACTGTAGCAGGAAGTAATCGTGCGAGTCTGGCGTTTATTCTAGGATACGAGCAGGACCGCCGCTGCCTTTGCAAGATCTGAGAAGTGTCAGCTCGAGTTGGCAGGCGCGATCTGGGCCTATCCATCTGGTGATCCGCCGGGTCGGATCCTCAGAGCTCCAGTTGCAACGCGCGCACGAAGCAAAAAGGGGCTTGCCCCCGGAACCGCCGGTCTCGCACTGCTTGTCTGTAAAGCAAAAACAAGTCATGCCAGTCAGTGGATGCTTTCAAACTTGTACAGAGTCATAGAGTTTCGTCGTCGTTTTCTCATGCCGCGACCAGCTGCATGTGTGCAGTTGCTCATGGGGTTGCTTATTCGTGCTCGCAGGCGAATGTTGTCGTAGTAATGATTGGCTTCGCTAGGTCGGGTCCCAAACCCGCATCGCTGCTACAAGTACAGAACGACATCTTCGTCATAGCGGGCGTGTCAGCCAGAAGCCCTGCGTGCCTCAGGTTGACAAGCCTCCAGCGGCCGGTCTTCCACGGAAGGCTAGCTGTGGCTTCTTCGACTTGCTTTAATCGTGAAACTTCGCTCGACTTCGTCCCGAGAGTGGCGAGGGCCTTCGGACATGAGCCATCGATGCTTCCAGACGGGCTTCGGGGCTGATTGGACCTGTGATTGCTTGGGCGAAACATCTCGCGACCCTGCTGCCGCAAGGCGATGAATCGATTCCGTAATGCGTGCTGGTGCTCAGCGTTGATAGAGCAGCCTCGGGTCACTTCGGTTTGCAGCATCAGATTTTTTCTGATGTTAGGATGCGAGCCATGTCCGGGGCGCGACTGGCTGGGATCCCGGCATGGGCAGTATCGTGCCGCAGAGGCATCCGCATCTGACTTGTGCCGGAATGCCAGACGCGTTCACAGGGTGATGAGCTGGACACCGGAGCAGCCACCCATTCGCTTGCCGAGACTCTCCCAGCAGAGGCCTGGGTGTTTTTGCGAACGTCCACATAATAAGGACTTATTGAAGGCGCGTCATTCGCCGGGTATGCTCTTAGGGTACACGTCATGTCAATGTGATGTTGAACTGGAGCAGATCCGTCATGGGAGTGTGCTGCTGCTTGGTCTACAAAGTGTCGATACCAGACGATTCACCGATGCACAGATCTCCGAGGAACCGGATGCCTAAGCGACGCAAGCGCTACATGCTTGGAGCCATCCTTAGGGTCGTCTGGTGAGCTGAAGAAAGCTGTATGCTCGTGAGTTCGGGTTTGAAATGAGACAAAGATCTCCAGTCCTGAGAAGTAAAACCCTTGCCGCAGGGCTGGGGCCATGTGCTCAAAGCTCAGCTGGGCAGCACGTACAGACGCAGACTCTCGGTGGCCGTCTGCTCTGAAGCGTTGAGCCCAAACTGAGGTTGCGAAAAGGAGACGCTCGCCAACAGGAGCCGCGGCCGAGCTTCGATGTCGGCAATTAAGTCTGCCCGCTGAAGTGTACAGAGCGCACGTTCTTGACATCGGGTGCCGCAGGAGGCAGCGGCCATGGACAGGCCCACTCTTTGTGTGGATTGTGATCCTGTCAGATATTGCCCCGAGTTGAAGCCGATCTGCCAAGACTCTGTGCTGAGTTCGGTGGATTTCGCAGCGACCATGCCACCGGGAGCTATGAGATCGGCAGTCAGGCGCTAGGGCGGACGGATTTCACGCACCCGGCGCTTGGGTTTCGACCTTCCTTGCCCCCCTCTCCATACTCTATGTGACAAGGATTTCGCTTCTGATGTAGAAGCAGGATTGCTGCATGCACTTCTCGGTTGATGGGTTGATAGGGCATGGACGGATGCATGTGTCGGACACGCTGCTTACCAGTTCGCAGGCAAAGATTGAAATACCGTAGCCGTTACCTTTGTTCGTTGAATAAGCAAGAGCCGCTGGCTGCTTCAGCCTTCTCGTGGCATGCGGTATTGCATTGACCTGAATTCTCGTTGCAGGTTCAACAACGTAAAGCCCTCGGACTTGCGGTTGTTTTGATTTGCTCACAGATGCTGTCAAGCAGAGCACGACGTCACCTGAAATAGAAAGTGTTGGTTTGTGCGCGCATGCTCCGCCATTCCAAGGAGGTGTCCGTAGCAAGTGCGGAGCGAGATGTGGTGTTATCCTGAGTTGGGAGTGACTTGTTGGGCTAGTGCTTTGGGTTGGGCCAAGTCATGGCGAAGCACAAGTGGAGACAAGCAGGGCCCTTCAGCAGTAAGGCTGCTTCAGGTTTTGCCGGTAGGATATGTGAAGTGAAGCAATTCGCGAAGCGCTGGAGTGAACGGCACAGTGTTGATGCAGCCTCGAAGTTCATGGTCCTCTAGGTCTCTAGGTCTAGGACTCTAGGTCTTAAAGCGATGATGCATCATGTAACACTACGACCGCTAGGATGCGCTCCTCCTGAGGTAAGCCCCATGATGTCGGAGATCATGCGCCAGTGCCCAAAACGGAACTGCTGCTGGAGAGACTAGGGCATGATGAGCAGCTTTGAATTGCCGCGCAATCACTTTCGATCTAGTCCTCGAGTCCATTTCGGACATCGGAACGAGTATCAGAATGACTGAGTATACCTTTCGCTTCATGTCGACACTTCACCCGCATGCAGAAGACTCTTGCGCTTGCTGAGACAACTTGGACTACGATGATCCCTTTGCGCGAACTGGTATGCTGGGCTCCTGGAAGATGCATACGCAGGCATGCAGGCAGCACGGCTTTGGACTGAGTTGCGGTATTTAACAGTTGCTTTGTGATGGGGTTTAGCACAGCAGGCAGCTTTAGCTTGCGCTTTGCTTTTGTCATAGAAAGAAGTCTTCATCCCAACCTTTCAACTGCCAATAAAGTGGTGCAACTGTCTTCGTTTTCTCAGCGTGTTGGCGCTGAGGCAGCAGGTTGAGACCCGGAGTTTACCATATTAAGTGGATGTTCAAACCGTGTACATGCTGAAGTGGATGCGCCAGGCGGAAGTCGTTTAGTAGCCGTCGCAATTGCGGCAGTTGGGGCAGCAGCAGTAGAAGGACAAGGGGCAGTCACAGTAGGAACTGTTCAGAACCACTCCGAAATTCAAGCCGCGAGGTTCAACCGTTGGAATGTATATGTAGCACACATAATTAGCACACCCGAGGATTCTTATCGAGTAAAGCGAGCTCGCCAAACCTTCTGGACGAGAAAATGACGTACTTCCAGTTTTGTCTTCCCTTAGCCAGCTACAAAAACTGCATCCGTCAGTGTAGCGCTGCACTTCAAATGCTTGGCCGGCACTGTTTTGGGCTGCTGACCTCCGCACCAGCGACGGTTTTGTTCAAGGTTGGTTGCCAGAGCATTGACTTGGTCTCAAGTTCGAGCTTTTGCAATTGCCAACCTTCGTAGAAAACTAACTTTCCGGACTGTCGAGAACTTGCAAGTTCGAGGATATGCCCACTTGTTGACGTGCTTCTCGATTCTAGCCAAACAGTCTGTAAGCGTATGATATGAAATTTTTCGGCTTCAGCAACATCCGCAGAGTTGCAGGAACCAGGAGGAGCAGGAGGAGCACGAGGAGCGGAGGAGGAGGAGGAGAAGGAGGGAATGAGGGGAGGAGAGGAGGAGGAGGCAATGGTGGCAGGAGGGAAGCATTTAGTTCGCGGAGACTGAGTGGTCGTGATGGCCGGAGTGGTGGTGACGGTGCTGGTTAATCGCAGGTTGCAAGAATGTCTCCTTGCTTCGTGCCTGCTTTTGGGTATTTCTGATTTGGTCTGCTCAGGTCCATGATCTCCATGACCTCAGACGTCTCCATGCCGACTACTCCGCAGGCGCTTCATCCGCATCCAGCAGAGTTCACTCGTTTAGTGCCGATGCTTGCCAGTCTGAACCTGTCCAGTTGCAGGTGCCGCACATCAACCCACTGTCTCCAGGGCATGCCACATCCGTGGCCAGCCTCACGCTGACAGAGGTGAATCTTGAGGGGATGTTCGTGTTGCCAACTCCTCCGTCCTCATTCTGTACTGAGCGCACTGATCATGCAAAGCGAAAGGTTTTTTTTTGATTTTCTTTGGCAGGGTGAAGGGCAGCCAGGTGAAGCTGCAGCAGAGGCAGGACATTTCATGCCGAGACAGAGAGGGCGCAGTGCGTCCAGCGCTCCCGGGCGGCTCGGAGTTGCGAGCTCTATTCCGCTTGGCTTTGCAGTTGCAGGTGACAAACAGCCTCGCGGATGCTGCTGCTGAGGCTGGGAAGTGTGCACTATATTGCATGGAAGATCTGGACTCGGCTTGCTTCGACCCGCGCCGAGGTGGCCCAGCAAGAAAATCAAAGACTCCAAGCCGGTGCAGAGCAGGCCAGGGCGCCAGGGCAGGCTTCTTGCTCCTGCTTGCCGTCGCATGCCGGGGCGGCGTTGCTCAACTGAAGGCTCACGACAGCGATGAAGCTGAACGTGAAGCAGATGCTGCTAAGGCCGAAGGAACCTTGTCCTGGACATACCATCGTGGAGTTTGGTTCTTGAAAGGTGCTGGCAGTGGAGATGAACAAGCGGCAAGCGGCCCTGGAGAAGGTCTCAGCAGCAGAGCGATTGGGACTTGCGATGTGCGGAGCCTCCGAGCTTTGCAGGCGCTGCAAGAAGAAATGATGAAGCGGCAAGCGCAAATGGAGAAGGCCCACTTCTTCGATGTTCGAGGGCTCGGGATCGGAGATGCGGATGCACTGATTGAGACAGATTGCTTGGGCGAAGCAGGAGCTCGCAGAAAAGGCAGCGCAGCGGCGAGCCCAAATAGAGAAGGACAGCGGAAAGCGACAGCTCTCGAGTCACGCCTTGGGACCCTGCCCTACCCCTCCGTCGTTGCAGTGCAGGCCTTGGCGGAAGAGGCGCAGCGGAAGCAGGCGGCCCTGGAGCAGGCAACCGGTCTTCCGCAGCCGAGCTCCGCTCTGGCTCTCTGTGAAGTGACGGAATTGTGAGCCAGAGCTTCTCTGTAAATCGCGCGGAGGCTTGGGCCGAGGAGGAGGCGCGCCTGCGGATTGTGCAGGCCCAGAGAGCAGAAGAGGCGCCTAACCCTGGCGCTTTGCTATGCAAAGTGGGCCATGCAAGGAGCGAGCTACGGTAGCGGTATTCTGGGCCTTTGCCAGGCCGCAGCAGCTTCGGCCAAAGCCCAGGAGCAGGACCGTGGGATGTAACCCCGGGCGGCAGCTCCGACGCCTCATGCTGTGTCATTCTGCACTGTGTCCGTGAGGAGGCGAAGCAGGCCTTTCATGAGGTCGGGAGTAGCTGAGCGCTTGCCCATGCGATGTGGTACACCGGCCTCAGTCAAACTTCCGTGAGCTCTTGCTGAAGGCCTTGGTTCGCAGCGCGATGGTTGAGTCGCAAGCGGACACGAAGGCTTGGATAGTTGGCGAAAGTGCCGGGCGGCAAAAGCTGTGAGATTGGCATGGGCAAGGAGAAAGCCGATGCAAAGCAAGCTTTCAACGAGGCCTGCCAATTCAGCTCGTCGTCCGAAGTATTTGCGCTAGATCCGCCATGGTGTGGTTTTGGAAAGGGCCACATGCGCAGGCCTTGGCATTGGCGATGATGGCCAAGGCTCCCATTGAGGCTGCGGTGCACATAGAGCGTCACAGCTTCTCGGAATCGTCAGCGCATACGCCGGAATGTCCCAGACGTTTGCCAGGTGCAAGCCAACGAGGGGGAAGAGGTCGAAGTCGACGTGCCCGAGGGATTGAAGGCGACTAACACTCTTGCTTATCCGTGCTGGGGTTGATTAAGTCTGTCGCTTCAGCCGTGTGGAACCTCTGGCAGCCGTTTGTCGGCGTACCTGAATTGACCCAGCGCCCTCGTCGAAAGTCGCCCATGCTTACGCTTACTCCCAGCCTCGGTTCTTTGGTTTCCGGGTGTACATACATTGCACAGTTTAGACGAGAGGCTGGGGACGTGTTCCACATTCTCTGGGAGGGTGAGGAATACGAGCTTGCTGGCACCTCAGCATTGCGGCTTTTCACTCGTGGCCGCCCATATATGACGGAAAAGCTCAGGCGTTGTCCGTACGGTGTGTGCCCAGCTTAGGCCGTCCCAGAGGGTGCCCGCCCTGGAGACCCCATGCGTGTCCGCCTCACCCACGAAGCGCAGCAGGCGAAAGCTGACCATAGGACAAAGGCCGCCAAAAGGCCGAGAAGGCAGAAGTTGAGACTTGCAGGAGAAGTTGAAAGTCGTCGTGCCGGAAGATTTCCAGCCAGGGGACTCCCTGAGGGTGGAGTGACTTGGTGAGAGAATGGCCATCTCCCGAGCTCTCTCTCCTGTGCCCCAATGAGGAAGGGCGGGAAGAAGTACGATGTCGTGGTGCCCGATGACATGAAGCCAGGCGAAATGCTTGAAATCGCTGTGGAGGACTGCTGTGTGCCCCTTGATGATCGCGGGTGTTGTCGAAGTGTGCGTAGCAGCACTTCCAGGAGGCCAATTATCTGAATTCCTCGAGCTTTGGCAGCTGCCCCGGTCATATGGCCATGTGTGTAGCATCTGTTGTCAAATCCTGCCGTTGGGGGACCGACGTCTCAAATACAGTACTGGCGTTTGGTACATCAGATCATCGATGTCTGCGCAAATCCTTCGCATCTTGACTAAAGCATGTAAGCTTGCGAAAGCTTTGTAGCTGCTGGTCCCTCCGCAAGTGGTGCCATGATACAGGCAACTCGCAACCTTCTGTCATGCCACCCACGACGACGCAGCCAAGGAAAGAGGCGCGGCTGTGCATTTGTCGATAACGAAGGTTGATGAATGAATACAAAAGTGAACTAGACGGTACAGATATTATGACTAAACAGCAACAGCAGAAGTCACAAGCAAACAAAGAAATACATACACGCGACTGAAGGTAAATAAGTCAGTAGACAGATGAAGCGAATATTGAAACAGGAAATCGATATTGGAGTATGTTCACTCAGCTTGCTGCCGCCTGAGAGACCTCGCCAGACAGTTTCCGAGCGAAGAGAAGAGAGAAGAGAAAAGAAGGGATAGAGAGAGAGAGAGAGAGAGAGAGAGCGAGAGAGAGAGAGAGAGAGAGAGAGAGAGAGAGAGAGAGGGAGGACTGCTCCCGCCCCAAGCAAAGCAAAGAGCGAGAGAGAGAGAGAGAGAGAGAGAGAGAGAGAGAGCGAGAGGGAGACAGAGACGCTTCAACGTGCGGAAAGAAAGACTAAGTAAGACGCTTCTTGGTGCAAGGTCCGACTGGACGTCCCGAGCTCGCAGAATTCTTTGGGGGCCGCGAGCTGAGCAGAGTCGGCAGCCAAAAAAGAAGGGGCGGACTCTCGCACTCGGCGAGGCCAGTACACATGTTTATCGCCTATGTGTACATAAACATGAACGTACCTTGAAAGGAGACGATCCGTGAATCAACTCGGGCATGGAAAGATGAACTACTTCTCAGGTAAACACAGACATTAGTGGTTATGCTGCGCACAGGCTGCTCTGCAATGCTCACCCATGCCTTACCATGTCCACCTGCACGTCAGACGTGCGAGGCAGCTTCGCCGATGGGCGCCCCTGGCCTGTCGCACGAGACTTCGGATCTCCTGATCAGACTGAATTTCCTTCTTGCCGCTTTGCAAAGGGTCACGGATTTGGCGTCTCGTGCTCTCAAGTTATGTCCGGGTCTTGCGCTTACGGGCGCCAGGTGCGTCTGCGCTTGGGCTTGGGCCGGCCGTGTCCCGGCAGAACTTGGCAACGGCCTTCAAAAAGGGGTTTTGTTTTGCGAGCCCGAGGCTGGTGCGTCGAGTTCGCAGCTCGGTCTAGGCCAGGCCCGCGACCCGCTCCCGCTTTTCTGGTGCTAGCGCGATTTTTGGTGGAAAAGGATGCAGTGCAGGCGACTGTAGGGGAAGGTGCGTGTTGCAAGGGACTGGCGATAGCCGCGTCTGATGCGAGCATGGCTGGGCTTTGTGAACTTAGCGTGTCTCGGGGCCCCAGGTCCTTCAAGGACGCTGGGCCCGAGCGACTCCCAGAGGCGCCATGGAAGAAGGGACGTTTGATTCTGATCCTCAGGGTCTTTAAGCCTTAAGCTTTGCTATGCTTTGCTTGAAAGCCTCCAAGGCCACCCGACATGACCATGAGCTCACTGCATTTCCAACCTGGGCTTGCGCCCCCGGGCTCGCGCTGGACACTTATGTTGGTCGTGGTGACAATGCTGCCGTTCCTCAGAGCCCTGGAAAGCATGCCATTGGGCCATGCGTGCCCAGGTACGACGGGCCCAGGTGGCTATCCGCCTCTCAGTTCCTCAGCCTCCTCGCCACTGCTCGCCAATGCTGGTGTCCCTTGCTCGGACGTGGTGCTTCTGTTCGCCACGTACCTTACGAGTCGGTGACAAGGCTGCCACGCTGCCGGGCCGGCGTGGTCCGCAGTCCATGGCCAGGGGCCCTGGGCTCGCTGTCGACGATTGTACTAGTCAGTGGACAGGGCGCAGGACCATGGAGATAATGTGACATCCCGGGGGTCGCAGAGTGCCAGGCCATGTCGATGCGGGCGCAAGGGCCAGGTGTGGGTTTGAGAGCAAGCGCACGACCTCCGTTCCTCGCGCTGGCTTTCTTCGGCAGGTCTCATGACACCGGACGGCTGCTTGCTTTGGGAGGTGACGGGGAAGAAGGGCCTGGTCTGAGTCTCTTGCAGGTTCAGGTGTCCGTCGGAGCAATCGGGCACACTTGACTCTTGACAGCTTCGTTGCTGACGTGCCAGATGTGGAGTCAGATTCAATCACTGCTTAGACTCTGACACATACAACCTGCAGGTGAAGCTTCAGAAATCAGGTCCGGACGATCGCAAGCCACCCAGCTTCTGCTCAAGAGTTTGGTCCATGCGCAACAGTCCAAGCTACGGAATCCGTCTTGCTTGCACTTCGCAGCGGCGCATGCTGCCGGTTCTGGATGCTAGTTCTTTCTGAGCCTGCTGACGATGCACGAAGCTCACGTTGTCGAATCTTATGTAGATGTCATGTGGAATCTTGTCGCATAAGCAGGAGTCAGCTTTTAGCAGACTTGCGCTCCATCCTACATAGCAGCAACCCGACACAAAGCTTGAGATCCAGCTTACCATGCAGCATGCCGCGCCATGTAGCCCGCCGCACATGTCGACATGTTCTCTTTCCTGCCACGGCCCTTCGACAGTGCCTGCACGGAGATCATCAAGGCATGCAGTGCAGAAGGGCTGGAGGATGACGACGATGAGGCTGACGAGGAGCAGGCCGGGCTGGTAACGAATGACTCGTGCTCCGCACTTGAAGTCTAGCAGCTGCGCTCCGTGACAGGCCGGACAGGACCATGTCTTCTCCTTCTATGACGAATTGCCGCCGGAGGAGCAGCGGGAGCTGGACGACCAGTTTGACAGAATCAATGCCCAGGACAGTATTACTGTGGGGACAGCCACGGTGGGGATGGAACCTCCCTCCCTGCCTCCCTCCCTTTCCCGCCCTGTCACCCTCCTCCCTTCCTCCCCAACCTCCCTGAAGCAGGATTCTAGCGGAGTCCGATATATGATATCAGTATCTCTGCACCGGCCGTGGGTGGGGCCTAGGCAGGAGCCTATTCAGACGGGGCTAGGGTCAGTCAATCAGTCAGTCAGCCATCGCTCGGGCAGTCGGTTCTTGTGCCTTCCTGCTGTCGCCGAATGAAACTCAACTAAGAGACACCAACCGCCATCACCGAAGGAGGGCGTGGATGAAGATATGTGGGCAACCATCATCGCTTAATGAGGGGGCGGGTTGAACAAATGTAGCCAAGCGCCACCGCCTAGCGAGGGGGTGGGTTTAAGAAATGCCATTAGCTACCATCGCCTAAGCAGGGCGCGGGGTTCCAGAAGTTTGTTCATTTGACCTGTGCGACCTGCCATCGCCTCGGGGGGCGTCCAAGAAGTATGTTCTGTTGAACTGGCATCGCCGCCATCAGGGGGGCAGAATGATGGGCCAGTTAGAACATGTTAATCATTGTTCATACTGCACGGATTTCGTGCTGTCGCCTGATGATGGGGTGGATTTAGGACTTGGTGCGATCCACCACCATCGCCGTCTGAGGGCACGGTTTCAAGAAATGATGTGAGCCACTCTCATCGACTTAGCAGCGGCTATTGCCTTTAGGCGGGGGCCGGTGTAAGAAATATGGTCCTTCGTTATCGCCTTCATGAGCTGCCATCGCCTAGTGAAGGGCGGGGGTCGGTGATCATGTCAACTGCCATAGCCTAAGCAAGGAGTGGGCGACATTAAGACATGTGATAGGCCACCATCGTCTAATGACGGGGAAGGTTGACCATCGCAGAGTGGTGGGGGCGGGCGCGGGAGTTGAGGGGTTAAGAACTGTCAGCGAAGTGGAAAGCCTGTTGCAAAAGTGGGAACCGGTTAAAGAAATCTAACCAGCTGCCATTCGAGCAATGTGATGGCAGTTTTCTAATTGCTCTGAGGGGGCCGGTGTAAGAAACGTGATTGTTTAAGAAATGCGAGAAACCGCCACTGCGGATGGGGGCGGGTCCAGGAAATGTGATCAGGCACTATTGCCCTACGGAGGGCCGTTTAACCGTCATTGCCGCACCAGGGGGCGGTCTTAAGAAACGTGATCTTCCGACACCATCTTCTCATGAGGAGGCGCGTTGCCGAGATGTGACCAACCGGCATCGCTTATGACTATGTCCAAGTGGATGGTATCACCTTAATGAGGAGACCAGTCTAAGAGTTGCGATCAATTGCCATCGCCGAATGAGGGTGCGGGTTGGAAGTTTGATGAACTGCCATCACCCAAGGAGGGGGCGGGTTTAAGATTTTCCGTCGGTTTGAGTTTATGAAGTTCGTTTCTGCGTTCCTCTCATCCGTCCTGCTGCGGTTCGAGAAAGGCCTCATCTGCGACCGATGTACATTTATGTCTCGACACCATGCTCAAGAATCCGACGCCGATACCTATAATATTCGACATCGAGCCTGCGTTTCTTCTCTCATGACTTCGGGCCCGTGTGCCAAAAAAGCTCAACGCTCTAGGGACTTACGCAAATACCACGGGTTACCACGCGATACAAGGTTTTGGGATTTGTCAGGCTTTGCATTTACGCGAGATCGACACCATCCCAAAACCAAGGCCCCAAGAATTGAAATTTAGCATAACCCACTACGCAGGTGCAGATCTGCACTGTGGGTCGGGGGAGAAGGGTTTATCGCGGCATGGATCGGGGCTAAAGCCCATCTATGTATGCAGAGTGGTCTCCCCCTTCCTCGCCCTCCTCCCTTCCTCCCTTCCTGCTTTCCTCCCTTCTTCCCTCCGAGGAGTTTGAGAACGCTTGGGTGCACGGAGCAGATGAGACCAGCTTTGCGGAGCAGGGCATCCAAACTGTGCCTCCATGCCTGATGAACTGGGCAGCTCGACGGAACATAGTCCGCTCTGCAGCTGCCGCAATGCAAGTGCGGGTGAGTCGAGTCGAGTTGAGTCCAGGATCTTAAGAGACCACCAAAGCTGCAGCCTGGTGCCGCTTGGACTGCATGCTACTACTGCCACATGTTTTTATTTCCGCGAGCACAATCGAGCACGACGACAAACGAAAACGGATGGGGGGAGATCCGAGTGTTTTTTCAAGCGGGGTCAAAAACACCTCAGCTGCTTCTACCGGGCCGAGGCCAACATCACCAAGCTCACAGACGTCAGCGAGCGCAAGTGGACCGCCTGGCAAACGCTGGGCCTTGAGATGTATTCTCGCGTTTCTCGGACGGATGGCCTCAATCCTGGAATATGTTTCATGACAGACAGTATGTCACTAAGGACAGGGTAGCCATCGTGATCATGTCCGGCGGGAAAGACTCTCGCATTGGTGGGCAGATTCCGAAGGGTGCTTTGGATGTGGGGCTCTTGTCTCACAAGTCAATCTTCCAGCTTTACATCGAGAGAATAAGAAGGCTGCAGCACCTGGTCCAGCGGAAATTCAAAAAAGCCGTTTACATTCCTGTGTACATAATGTGCAACCGCGATAACAAAGAGATCATCGAAGACTTCTTCCGTGAGAACGAGTTCTTCGGTATCAGAGAGCAGGATGTCTTGTTTTTCACGCAGGGCGACTATCCAATCTGCGACAAACGCGGGAAATATTTGCTCGAAGAGAAACACAAGATCGCGGTTAACCCGAATGGCAACGGCGGCATTTTTAAAGCCTTGGTGGAGGAGGGCATGGTCTCCGACATGAAGAGCAGGGGCGTAACTAGCATTTACGCACCTTCGACTGCAGAGCGTGTGATTCCAACTTATTATAAGCAGCTTGGCCAGGCCCCAGGCCGGCCTAATGATTGCACCTGAGCTGACAGGTCTGCAGCATCGACAACGTCCTGGCGAAGGTCGGAGATCCAGTTTTTATCGGCTTCTGCGATACCTGCAAGGCGCCGGCCCTCCTAAGAGCTGTAGATACGACAGGGCAAGGGAACCGGAGCTTGAGAGGCCGATGCAGGCCTCAAGACCATGGAGAAGGTGCTTCCAGAGGTGCTCTGGTTTGCCCGTGCCGACCCATGTGTCGATTAGGATGTCGGCAAGACCCTGCTGCAGGAGCAGTATGGCATCTTCTGTTCTCAGCTCTACCGGGACGTCTTCGAAGACGTGGATGGGGATGGAAAGCTCGACTCCGTTTCCAAGGTGAAGGCGTCTGTTTTGGAGTTCTTCGAGATTCCCGAGGACAGTCACGCAACAGCGACTTCCGGGAAGCTCCTAATACATTTCTGTGCCCAATGAGGACTTAAAGAAGCGGCGCAAGCAGGCTGCGGGGACGGTTTCAGCTTGTTCACGGTGTGAATGTGGCCCATGGGGGACAGTGCCATCGCCAAGGCAGGATCTGGCGGGATGCCGCTGGAACTAAGTGCCGGCAACTTGTCCCAGTACTTCTTCAAGATTGATTTCGTCAAGAAGGCGGGTGTCTCAAGTTTTAGTCGAAGGTCACAGGTGTACCAGCTGGACAGAGATACTGTGCCTCACACACTGACACTGTATGTCTGTATGCGGTAGGTGGCCCAGCTGCACTGGAAGAAGTGGCACCTCATCCCAAAGGCGCCCGGATGAGCCTGCACAGGGAAGTCTTATGATTGCTGTAGAGGGAGTGCCTTTGCAAGGCCATCCCCTACATCGACCTCAAGCTTGGACACAAGGTGGAGCCTCCGAAGCAGGACAGGAACGCAAGGAGGATGGAGATGTTCATCTTTGATGCATTCCAGCTTTGCAAAAGTGTGGTGGGCCTCCAGGCGGGAGGGTGGGGTGTTGGATGGTTGGATGAGCTGAATCCATCTTCTGTCCAGACCACGGCTGTGCCTAGGTTCCACGGACAGAATATGCACTGGTCAAGAACGTCTCGGGGCCCAGCTCACCACAGACGGCAGTGCAGGCAGAGCAGCTCTTGCTCAGAATTCCCCCAAGCCTCAACTGCACTTTTGCAAAGACTCGGAAAGACATTTGTCTTGTATCCTGATGCTTCAACAGGCAGTGGGGCAGCTGCACCAACAGTGGATCATTCGTGCAGGAGGAGAGTTTGTAGACAAAAAGGTGGCCGGGGAAACGGAGGACCTGAAGTGTGAAATCTCCCCCCTGGTCTCTTACGACGGTGAGGACTTGGAGGGTCATTTCCTGAAGCCTTTGGCACTCCCCTTTTATCTGCCATCGCAGATGGAGTTCACAGACTTCTCAGCAGCAACTGCACCACTGGCGAGAAGGCCTTCCACGCACTACTTGGATTGGCAGTCAGACATCATCCGTCACGAGCTGGAGGTGGAACTGCATGCGCAACTGGGAAATGTGTTGGAGATGATGGAAGATCCCAAGAAATACGAATACCATGGTGAGCGAGCAGTTAAGGAAGAGGAAACGCTGCCACCCACGCCTCGCGACACAGGGCCAAAGAGGCCCGGAGCTGCAGCAGGAGAGGTCGCGCAAGGATCTGGCAGTGCACGAAAGGGTTCGAAGCAGGCCGAGACAAATGATCCCTCAGAGCCACTTACCGCCCTTGAGGGCCCACCGACGGAGACGTACACGGATCCCAAGAAAACAATCAACAGTGAGAAGCGCCAGAAGTACTGGGGCCGAGACGCTTCCCCGACGAGCGCGCGTGGTGCGCCCTCTGCGCGTTCCGCCCGCGGGGCTCCGCCTTCGGCGCGGGGCGGACCGACCTCGGCACGTGGATCGCCGGGCGAGGCCTCCCCACGCGAGCGAGGCAGCGCACGTGGCAGTGCACGTGGCAGCGGTGGCGGATCTCCTGGCGAATGATTTGCGATCATTTGCCAGTGTGTGCGCAGTAGTGGACCTTTAGGCGGTTCACCCGGGATGGGCTAAGACGGCTTGTCCTGGTGTGAACCCGAAGGGGCCGACATCTGAATGGAGCGAAACACAGCTGTGCAGTAGAGTTTTACCCTCCATCCGACATGCCATCTCTCGCGTGCCTTCATCCATGCAAGCTCTCTGTCCCGTTAAGTCGAAAATTCGTGTCGAGTTCCGGCATGCCCGCCCAGAGTCGTTTGCTACATGCAGGTCGGTATGCGATAGGTTGCTAGATCCCAGATGCGAGGCGCGGATTTCCTAAGATTTGACATCTGGAATCTGGACATGGATTGACATCAGCATGTCTGCCAGCGTGTGGACCAAGGCTTTGGCTTTGCGCACTTCAGCGGTTACGGTGACTTTCTGCTTCTGCCCCAGAGTCTTGCAAGTTGTGAGACGCAGTTTTGGCGGTTGATCTTTGACAGGGATTGACAGGGCATACTTCAGCGTTGCCACCTGTGAAAACCTCGAAGCCTTAACATGGGAGCCTAAATGCCTAATTAATTACCCATACTATTTTTTGGGGCTCCTTGTTACAATTATGGTATGATGGGCCCCAAAGCCCTAATTATTGAAAATTACTAAGGCCCCCTATATGACGTACGTTTTGAGGGTTCGGGGCCGGTCATGGAGCAGAGCTCTTTCTCGTCCAGGCGTGCGCGGGGCCAGCTCTCTGAAGCCGAGGCCTCCGCTTTCTCAAACGGGTTTTGGGCACCTATGAAGTCTTGAGCAAGCACCGGGGGTGCACCAAGAGCACCCTTAACGCCTGAAGTGCCAAAGCGCAGTGAAGGCAGCGAGACGCGCCTAAGAGAAGGGTATCTTGAATGCCGCTACACTGCTACACGTGCGTAGATTTTTCCATGAGAGAAGCCGAGGCCGAGGCAGGATGGAAGGTCAGGTCTAGGCTCAGCGGCTGCAGTTGCAGCCGGGGCACTCCTCTCAGGAGACACCGCTGGCCACCCCTTCAGCAACACCCGGCCGCGGGGCCGGGGACCGAAGTTTCATCACGTTTTCGGTAGCCTTTTCAGCTTTCAGCCGGAATGAGGCCATGGACAGCAGTGGCCGCTTCCACAAAGCGCCCAGAGTGCCCCGACCAGCCTGTGTTCATGTGTCGGGTCGGAACGAGCGTGGGTGTGCATTGTCTTAGCCCAAATCTTAGGGTTTCCAGGTACTGGTGGTCCGCGAAATTGCGCCGCTCCCAGCGGTGAGCTTCTCTTAGAGTGTTTGGCACTCTAGCCCGAGCCTGTCGAGCAACCGACCATACTAGTGGGCGTAGATCCCGTGCCCCAGCGATGCAGGCATCTACAGTCCTCACAGAAATCGCCAAGCGCCGGAAATCTGTATCCAGTCCATTAGCGCCTACACTGTGAGTGCACGCATCTTCTGCATCACACGAAGTCCTCCGCAGATTGAGAAGATGCGAGGGCTTGGAGGGCTCGCTTCAAGGTATGATATTCTTGATTGCAAACCCGTGACTACAGCCGCGGTCTTTGCAGGCCCCCGCTGGCCTCCTTGCTGCATGGAACCGAGCACATCCCGGCAGTGAGGTGGCCTGGCTGGCTGTCAGATGCGTGGTTGCGATGTAACTGCGGGTTCACTCTAACCAGGTCGTTTCCTTTGACCGCGTGTATGCCGTCAACGGCAAGACTCGGGTTGAGGATGAGCCTGTCAGAGCCTGTAGTTGCAAGTGTGAAGATCAGTTTGCACAAGCCTCGGTCTCTATGGCGAATGAATATGATTTCATGCATCGCTGGAGCTGGTGAGCCGTGCATAGCGAAGTAGAAGGAAACCTGCTTAATGAGATGGGAGGACATGCAGCAAGAGCTCCGCAAAAGTGCGATGATCGTCCTGAAGTCTCTGCCTCAGCGCATGCAAGAGTCCGGCAGCTGCGTAGTGTGGGTGTTCGAAGACTGATTCAAGAATTCTTGTTTGCTTCCTTACGCTATTGTCCAGGATTGTTCGCTACCCGCAGATGTTCGCAGTGGAGCCTGGGCCTTGTTCATCTTGTTCCCTTGCATCTGGAGTCTGTCCAGTGCTTTAATCTCTCATCACTGATCATGCTGAAGACACATGTGTGATTCAGTTTAAAGGCTAAAGGCTTTGTCCTGCAAGCAAGAAGCGCCATTGTCGGACGATGCACACCGGTCGCATGCGATGCGCATCGATGCGCCTTCGAGATAAGAGTGTGCTGCTGTTCAGGCTGCGGGGCGACACGCAAGGACCAATGCCCATCGGAGTTCGCGTGGAGAGGTCCCGGGGTTCATTCTGGCAAGCTACTTGACTTCTCAACCGGGCGCAGGCCACCGAGCGACTTCGCGCCGGAGCTGAAAGTCACTGAGGCCAGGTGTGTTTTTGGCACATCTTGTCACGAAGTCTTTGGGTGAAAGCTCCAAGACGGAGAGCATGACTAACACGTCCAGCCGCCAAACGTGTGGAGGTGGCTAGCTACGGTGCTTTAGAGCAGTTCAACCTGGCGCAGATCAGGCAGCCACTGACGCTAAGTTCCGTCTACACTGAGACTACAGGTCCCAAAACATCGGTGCAAATTGCAGGATGGGCCGCTTCCACTTAGTCGTGCTGCCTGGGATGCCGCGGCGTCAGGGGATCTTAAGAGTCTCCGTGAGGAGTGCTGCATCACCCAGCCTTTGCTAGAGGCGTAATCTAACATAGCAGTTGTTGCCTCATGCCAAGGTTTATCCGGAAAGCAAACCAGACACAAGGCTTGCTTCACTGTGCCGTTTGGAGCCGCTAGAGGAGGCTCCCAAATCGCAGTGCGATTCTGAAACAGGGGATCCCGACAGCATGGAGAAGATTGTCGCCGGAACGACACCTGTCACGTTGGAGCCTTGGGAACTTCGCATAAAAGCACTGGAGCACAAGGGGGTGCTGCGCACTGTTGTGTTCAATGCGTTCGCCCGGCAACTCACAAGGCTTTTCATCCGACGCGGTGACCAGATGATCAGCAGAGATATCCCTCGCACGAGATCTGTCAGGCTTTCGGGGCAGGGGTCAACTACACCCTTCAATAGATGAGTGAAGTGAGATGTGTGCAGATGGCCGCGTGCTATCGATGCTTTCCTCATGTCTTGTGTTTGGGTTCTACCTACGTCCTTCCCGAGAATGGGAGCGGGGGTGTAGGAGGGATGTGGTTGCTGACTGTGGTGGTGCAATGATGCGCAATCAACGAGAGAGTGCACTGATACATGCCAAAGGACAGGTGAAAGAGGAGCCAAATACGAAAGCTGCTCGAGCGATATCCACCGTAACGTGTTCACAACGAAATATGAACATTCGTGTTTTGGGCTTGCTGGACATGGACTGCTGCCGCAAGCTTTAAGTTTTGTCGTCTGGGTTGCTTGCCCAGAGGTAATGTGGTCCAGATCGGCAGGAGGAGGTGCGACATGTTGTTGGCAGTTGTAGAAGGGAAACCGATGCAGAACTCTTGCTGCGCCAGGTTTGTCCCATTTGCTTGTAGATACACGCACATAGCGAAATCGCTGTGCATTGCGTCGCGGCTGACAGGTAACTGAGTCCGTGTGGGAGAGAGAGGTCTGTTAAATTGTTGTTGGAGTTACGGTGCAGAGTTTTCAGTCTTGTGAGTGCGGAAGAGACCTTGGAATGCTTCGTGGCTTCTATGTTACCTTAGCACTTATGCATCTCAAAGATGGGCTGGCTGCTGCCAAGCTGCGAAAGCAGGAATCCTCGGCTCGTCGATGTTTCAACACTGGAGTCGCCGAAGGTTCGGGATGTACCGCTCGGACATGGAATCCTCATGTGCAAAGGGGCATGGCCGCATACCCTTCTCATGCCGAAAATTATGAATCTTGTCTGTTCGAGCTTCCCACCGTCTTGCGCTGAACTGTTGCGGAACTGTTTGCTGGTGCATGATGGATGTTCCCTTCGCAAGGCGACTGTATGTGAAGACTCGAGTTTCACCTGAGGCCCTGAGCTGCTTTGAAGCCGCAGAAAGGTATCAGGGCTCGTTGTTTTGCTTGCAGGGGCGACCCCATGCAAGCCCGCATGTTCAGAAATTCGTGTTGTGCCCTGGCGGTGCCCTCTGCTGATAAATGAATTGGAGAGTAGTTGCAGTTACCCGCCATGCCCTTGCTAGATTAGCTAAGACGAGTCGCTAAAACGACGTCCGGCGCAAGTAGCACAATGTGTTCACAACACATCTTTGCAGTATACGCTCGCAGCTATGATTCAACGATGCTGGTTTGTTCGGCACTCCTTCGCACTAAAGATCCCCACCGAAGCTGTGTCTTGGTAGTAGAAGCTGTGCTGTAGCGAAGGAGAGCAGGATTGACGACGGGAAGTGCGAAGCCTGAGAAGGTGAGTGTGACGATTCTCGTGAAAAGAGTGCGGGTTTTGCAGATGGTCCTTAACCTTTCACAACCTCGGGCATCCAGGATGCTGATGTCGGTCAGGAGCATGACAGGCGTCTTTGACGGCATGGCAGCATCATCATCAGTGAGTCGGTCGTTCATTTGCAGGCGTTGCGGCCTTGGAAGCGTTCGAATGGTTACGGATTCATGGAGCATCTCAGATAACCCGTCATGGGCTTCAGCAGACTCCTCCTGACTTGGTGATCCAATCGTCGCGACAATTACCGGCAATATGTGCCGGTAAATTGTAGCTCGTCGCCAGTAGCAACAGGATAATGCCTGCCTGCAGTCAATGAAGCAGCCATGGAGTTCTTTGCCGCAGACGTCCGACGAGATGCCGCGAAACTTCGTCGCGCGTACTTGCAGCTGGCCCTCCGTTACCACCCCGACAAGGTGCCTGAAAGGCTGAAAGAGCCAGGGCCGAAGGCGGCTGATTGCAAGCGAGACCGGAGACAACTCCTTCGAAGGATAACAGGGAACGCCCCCCTCCTGCACTGGCTGCCGCCAGGTCAATGCGAGCCGCTCGCCGCAAGCAGCAGATCGTGAAGGCACCAGACAAGGAGTCTCACGCTTGAGCTGCAGTGTCACAGCTGAAGGTTCTCTGGAGGACAAGGAAGCGACGGAGCTGTTCCAAGCAATCCAGGCGCGGAGGGCCAACGGGATTGAGGGATGACTGGATGACTTTGATAGGGAGGAAGGCTGCAGATTTCGGGCATGAGACGCTGAGAGCTGGGCAGGCTGCCTACGAGCAACTTTCGGCAAGCCTAGATGGAGGAGGGCGTCGAGGTGTCAGCTTAGAATCCGGCGCGAACGACACAGCACTTTCGCAGCAAAGTCGTGCAGGCCCGGGCGGTCCTGGGCCGCGGGTGCGCAGCGCCTTCGCAGCGGCCTGCGAGCTGGGCGACCTGGCGGTGCTTGCCCCAGCCACCCGAGGCCTTTCTGCTTTCAATCGGCTTTCGCTCGTGGAAAATGGAAAAAAAGGAAGTGCGGCGGCTCCTCCGCATCAGACCGGCATTGGCAGAGCAGACGGACGAGCTCGGCGTGTCGCCCCTGATGTTTGCGGCTTCCGGTGCCTCGGCGAAAGAGGGCGTGAATCATGGGAGTGCGAGTGTTCATTTTCGCATGCCTCTGCTCTTTGCCCGAGCTGCAGACTCACGGGCAGACGGCTTCGGTTCATGTCCGGCATGTGCAGGAGGGTCAGCGGCGGCTTGCGAGGTGCTGCTGGAGGCGAAGGTGCAAAATGTATGGCTGTGTTTGCGAGAACTCTGCAGTGGCTAAGGGGTTCGATGTTTGTTGCCACAAGCCGCACTTGATGCTGTCCAAACGTAAGGGGCAAAAAATCCGGAGCTCGGGACCGTTCGGAGTCAAGTGAGCCTCAGATTCGCAGGCTTCATTGGAGATGCGCAATCCACTCGGGTGGACGGCCCTCACTTGGGCTGCACTCCGAGCACGCAAGGAGGCTTGTGCAAGGTGTGTTCAGGGCGCACATAGCTCGCAAGATCGTGGAGGCCTCCGCCTTCCTGCTGCAGAAGGGTGCAGAGGTGCAGGACAACGACTTGATTGTCGCCAGCCAGCAAACAAGAGCTGCAGAGTGTTGAGAGTTGAGGCTATGAACCGTGATAATGCCTTTGCCTATGGTAAACTTTCGACGGAGTGGCAACGTGAGGCAGACCATGCTAGATTCTGAAATGCCCTTCCGGACTGTCCAAGAAGCAATGTCCATGTCAACCACGCCCGGAGCTTCGGGTTCTCGTCGTGACCCAATTGAATGCCACTGACTCGAGGTGTTGGCTTTCACCGGCAACTCTGAAACTTTCTCGATTCTGCTGCAGGCATGTTTGGTTCCTTGTCGGGGGTTAACTTGCTTAATTTTAACGCTACGCCGCCCGCCTCGGCTGTGTAGCGGCAGGGCGAGGGGGCAGTCGATGTTTTTTTATGCTAGGGCGGCCTGTCAAACCCCAACCTTTACACGGTTGTTGATACGAAGTGGAGGGGGGGGGGGGGGGGGGGGGGGGGGGGGGGGGGGGGGGGGGGGGGGGGGGGGGGGGGGGGGGGGGGGGGGGGGGGGGGGGGGGGGGGGGGGGGGGGGGGGGGGGGGGGGGGGGGAGGCCGACAAATCAGGTAAAATGAGGGGAAGCCGGGCAAGGGGGTGGCAAACGAACGCAAAAAACGGGTGTCCCCAAACATTTGGACTGGAGGGAGGAGGATTAGGTGGAGGGTACCTGAGCTAACCCCCAAGACGCCTGGGCCTGTGGCCTCGGCGGATTTAGCAGATGGGGCGTTTACCCAACAGCTCAGCAAGCAGACAGCTTCTTATTGCATGGCGTAGGCCTGCAGCGATGAGAAAGTGCTGGCAGTGCGCGATCAGAAAGAGCTGCTAGGTCTGAGTGGAGCATTGCGGTCTTGTGTTGTCTGCTGCATCACGCCTCGGCGTTCTTAGCATGGCGTCTCGGTTGTGTATCCGGCTGGCGTGATGGTTTGGCCGAGACTGGGTCAAGCCTGGCAATAAGGAAAGGATTGTTGCACTTCGCTCTCACAGGTGCCTTGCCTGAAGAAGTATACTGTATACCTGCTCTGGTGCACCACGGGAGTTCCCGGAACATCCTCGTCCGTTGCCTTTGCCCTAGCTGCAGGCTTGGCTTACATGAAGCGGCCTGCGAAATCTCACGAAGATTGTGTTGATTTGGCCATCCAGGCGCGGATCGCACCCTTCGGGTATTCCGTGTTCGGGTCTTGCGTTGTTTCGATCACGTAATGTTTTATGCTTTGGATGTGTGGCCGTGGGCAGCCCAGGCAGCCTTGCCGTGTATCCAACCTGATGCTAGCATTTGTTTAATCTGTGGACCTGCAATGTGGCAGCCAAACATTGGCGGCCGTGTGCAGCATCACTGCATTGCTGCCGCCATCGATCCTGCAAGATCGACTTGTGCATTGCACGTGGTTACCCTTGCAGTTTGTCCCTTTTAGTCCTAATCTTCGTTTGAGTTTGACTCCGAGAGGCCGGTTCACCTCCTCTCAGTAGCATGTGTGCTGTGCAGCTGTGGCCTTTTATGAATCCTTCGGAGGCTAGATGTGATCCAGCCAGTGAAGATCGCAGGGCCCGCCAATGTCGGGAAGGTGGCCAGTTGTTTGATGCGACAATGGCTCTGCTTCAAGATCATGTTTCCAGAGCGAGACCTCGACGCTAAGCTGACCCAGCCAAGGTGGAATGGAGGAAGCAGTGCCTGTGCTTTGCCACTTCGTGCAGTGCATGGCAGATGCTTCGATGCTGACAGAACTTGCAGGTGTAGGGTGTGCGCGACTGTTCATGCTCGATGCTGCAGTTCCACCCCGCCGAATCTCATGGGCCAGTGCAAACCGCAAGAGACTGACTGACCCGGTCTGATCAGAGTTGGAATAGGGATCGCGAAAACAAGTCTCTGGTACAGACATGTTCCTTCTTCGAGCTATGCTCAGGAAGATTGGGCAACCTCTGATCTGGACCAGTCTGCCCCACACCTTGCCGTGGTCACCAAGCTCCCTGGTTCTCAGATTACAATCATGCCGGTTTTTAGAAAGGGCACGGTCCGGGATCTGTCTGTGACTGAGTGCCTTCGCTCTGAGTCTGACAGGCCGAAGCTTGTAGCGTGCCTCGCGGTGATTGTGTTCATAGAGCCTTTTTGGCCCATGTGAGAAACGAGCTCTAGCAGTGCCCCCGCGAATCGAGATAGCAGATAGCATGGCGGTGGTTGGAAAGCCGCAGGATGACAAGATCTACACGATCGGCTCCAACTCAGAATTTCACGGATCCGGCCGATTCCACGAGCCAAGCTCCAACTATTTCGCGGTTCGAAACACCTTCCTGGAGTTGAAGCAGGACTCTAACTCCCTCCAAGAGTGGTGTGGCTCTGTGCGTCGAGTGAAGTCTTCCCCAGACCTTGCGAACCCGGATGCTTTCAAGCCTTGCTCCGTGGAGAAGCTGGGAGAGCCGACGCCCATCCCCGCA